TGTTTGAATGGTATGATATTAGTTCGTACATACAACCGACAGAGTATGAAAACAGGTTTCTATCAGGATTTTTCATATGTTCGTACGTATGAAGTATGATCGTATTGTACGACCTAAGATGGTCAAATTGAAATTTTTAGTTTCCTAAATGATTTTTCTCGTCTTTTCAATATGAGATCCTAAAAACTGAATGACTACAAAACTCTTACTGTGAATTTCTTTTGAGAGTGCACTTAGAGAGTATTTGGGAGAGTTTCTTCGGATTGGAGAGAGAGATCTTTTAAGAGGGATTTGTGAGGGAATTTATAAGGTTGCCCAATGGTGAGGATCTTTTACTTATTCTTCAAAGTTCCTCCCTACTTTCTTGAAGATTCTTGAAAGAAGATTTTCAAAGGAACGCCGATACTTTGCCGACACTAGGAGGTGCGAAAGGATGACAGTTATCTGCCGACACCAGGAGGGTGTGAAAGGACATTAATTATCTACCGTCACCAGGAGGGTGAGAAAGGATGACGATACGTACTTTGCCGACACCACGAGGGTGTGAAAGGATGATGATTTTTTGCCGACATCGAGAGGGTGTGAAAGGACGCCAATTTTCTGTCGTCACTAGGAGGGTGAGAAAGGATGAATGTACTTTTCACCGAAGATTGGTAGAAGAGAGGGTAATTGTAAAGGCTTCTCTGCCTTGCTGTGTGAGTAAAAGGAGAGTCATTTTAGTATAGTGCAATATTTGAAGAGGGAGTCTTAAGGAAGTGGACGTAAGTCTTGTTAGACTGAACCACTATAAAATTTTGTGTTCTTTGTCTTTACTATTTACTATTTTTATTTTCTGCAATTTACTGTTTGTGGTTGAAAATTTTATTTTGAGAAAATTTTTCATTGAGCTTAAAACTTAAATTGATTTTCTAAAATTTTCAAAATATTTTTTAAATTACCAATTCACCCCCTCTCTTGGTTAGCCATGGGACAAATTTAATAGGTCTAACAACCTATTCGGACTTTCATTGGATCTCTTTAAATAAAGGGGAAAAGCCACATTTTAGATCTTTTGGCAAACACTTCAAGCCCTATTGAGTAAGTAAATTACTTCATCTTCCAAAGATTTTTCTTTCTCTTTTCGTATTCATTACATATTTTTGGGTTCAAGCCTCTTCAACTTGCTTGCAATAAAATCAGGTATCTATAAATTTGAATCTAACACTTAATATTACATTTTGTAGTGAGTTTATACCAACCACCATTGATGCATATGAGATAATGAGATGATGGATACCTTAAAGGTCCTATTTATTTAAGGACCAAATAATTGAAATGTGCCTGAGTTGAATTGATAAATTTGGTTTTGAACCTATTATATGGCCTTTCAAGTTTACTTCATTTCCATAAATTCATAACCAAATATATCTTATTTAGGAAATTACTTAGGGACTAAACCATGCCAACATGAGTTGTACCCTTAGCTAACGCAAGTGGCTCTCAAACCACATTGCAAGGCTAGAGGAGAAAGTTGTCAGTAGGAGCAAATGACAAGAGGAGGCTGCACCACATTATTAGTCATTTCTATTGTCATTCCTAAGAAAATCGTCCGGTCCAGTTATATTGGCTTCTTCATAAGTTTATATGAGGACGAACTTCAATTCCTTAAGGAGCTTATTCCCAAAATTTTAGCAAAACCTGCCAGTCAATTTTAATTATTTGCAGATGGCATGGCACCAAAGTGATAACATTTCGAGACTATTGAAGGATATATTATCAATCTTGACTTGTTAATATGAATAAGGAGAGAAGTATGGATGTACGAACATGCATCAATCTATTAATTATCTTCCGGCTGAAAGCATCAAATGCTATATGGGCTCTAAAAAAGGTCTGTAAGCTCAGCAATTTGGCTGACATTTTGAAGTTCTCAATTGTATAGTATTGAAGATTGTGATGATTTTGAATTCTAATTTTGATACTTAATTTCAATTTGTTTATATGTCAAAATTAAGAAAAAAATATACTAACAAATATCTTTTTGATCAATTTCATAATTAAAAATAATGCTTGATATATAAAATGTTTTTTGTCAATCATAATATGCTGATTTTTGTACTAATAATGTCAAATATATTGGTGGCGTCAACGTGCATACATGCTTTAGGTTTCATTTGGGACAACTTTATTGTTGCTTCTTAAAGTAGCTTTTTAGTATAAAAATTATAATTTTTCTATTACAAAACTGCTTTAAGAAGCAAAAAAAAATTCGTCCCAAACGAAGCCTTAATCGATGCTTTGTGATCAATAAGATAAATGTTTTTTTTTTTAATCTTTTATCTAATGTGGATATATTTATAAATAATATTTCCCACAAAATGATTTATCATACGTTTCATAAACAAGTAGATCGCGATCGAACGAAAATTTCTGCTTAGCTGCCAAACAACAGAGAAATTATTCTGTGCGGAATTCGGTTATAGAGTTGTGATCGGATTCCACTAAAATCATTACACGTGGCGTGCTTATGTGGAAAGTTAGGATATTCATTTGACTTCTTATCCGACCCGTTTGTCTTTTCGGACTTACTGCAGACTAAGAGAAATCCGCAACAGATAAGCAATAATTAAGCAGAAAATACGCAACATATACGCAACAAATACTCAATAAATACGCAACAAATACGCAATAAAATACACAATCAATACGCACATTTTACGCAACGAATACGCAATAAATACTCAATCAATACGCAAGTCAAATAAATATCGCGGACTTTTAACTTTCTACGTAAGCATCCGAACACAGCTCTATAACCGGATTCTGCATAGAATAATTTCTCCAAAGAACGAGCTTCGATTAATTTTTACACACCTAATGCATCAATGAGTTCTTCCATCGACAATCACCAAACTTTAAACCATACCAGCGTGCAAGTGCTCAAGAGATATTATGTCATTCGACCCGAATGAGAGGTGATGGCCTGAGGTTCAAACTCCCTAGGAAAATTCAACATAAAATCTAGATTTTGGATCACCTGAATAATAGAAGAATCCCAGTTCATTTGGACTCTATTTTGGAGGTTTTTTTAATGTACCCTTATTAATCAAATTAATAATACCGTGACCGGTGGAGTATTTATCTTAAACTAATAATAATTGACACATTACTAAAAATTCATCACCTCCTCCGGCCACCACCTCCGAGCCTCCACCCAACCTCTATCGCACATTGACTATAGTCCATCCGACCTTTGCACCCAACAATGATCTATTTGACCTCCATCGCCTGTCGACTACGTTCCCTCTAATCCCAGTCGCCCAACTACGGTCCCTCTGATATTTATTGCCCAACTAAAGTTCCTTCGACAGCTTATCAACAAACAAAAGTCCCTCGCCCACAATCGCCTAAAATGGTCCCGTCGACCTCAGTCGCCCGACTATGATTCCCTCCAACATCCGTCACCCAACTACAATCCTTGGAACCCGATCGCTCGATTATGATTTTATCGATCAAACAAACAAACTAACATTATCTTGAGAACAACTCTCCTGTCATTAGTTTCTTCCAACTCTAACAATGTAATATGCTCTACATGATGTTTATTTACATGTGTCAACGCCTTCCCTTGAGGACCTGCATCATTTATAATCAATGAGAAATACAAGTGGAATCATTTTAACAAGGCCGAATCCCATACTTTTTCGTTTTTATAAGAGTTTTCAACATAAAAATTCTTATCTCTTCTAACTTTTGCATCATTCTCTCTTATATATATATGTTTACTAAATTTTCATACAAGGTTAAGACATTGAACTCTACATCTCTCTACCGCCACAAACATTCCAGCACACAACAATAACAACACCATAATAATAATAATAATAATAATAATACAACTTCTCTTCTATTCTCATTATTTAAGAGCACGATCAGCATCACACTTCTAGCAAAGCACATTTTCTTTCTCAAACATGCACCTTTGCAGTACAGAAGAAATGTTTTTTTTTTTTTTCTAGTAGAGTTGAGGGGAACTCCCACTAGTGAAGTTGACTTCTTGGTAACCTTCTTGTTATCATGTTTTACATAACACTCATTACGTCATTTTTATCTTCGAAATTTTCCAGTGGTTTCATTATTATCTTCCGAGTAGAAAATAATAAGCAACTCCCCTTCATCACATCGGGCACTATAAATAACGTTTGAAGTCAACATTATGGACCAACGCATGCACTTTAGGGGAGAGGTATCATACTCATGCAGTGAGGAGGAAATCTGCCCCTTCAAGGTACTCACTAGCACACAAGTCATTCATGCACTCATGTTTGTTTAGGTCAAGATTTAGTTGGGCCTGATACATGTCTAATGAGTTAGCAAAAAATGAGCTGATTCAAATAAAGAAAAGGTTGATAGTTGCCGCCTGGAAGTCACCCAAAGAGCCACTAAGCACAAGGTCACTTGAACATAATTCAGTCCGCATAACTAGACCGACATCTGACAACTCATATCCTCATTAAGTCAGAAAAAAATATCCGCATTAAGGTACTGGATTGACACCCAACTAGTCATTATTCAGAAGTCAACTAATTGAAGTGCAGCCCGCGGTCTCCATCCATACCAAGCTACTTGTCATCACTCTTTCAAAATTAGCTCAGAATGTGGCATAAGGGGTATTTCATCGACATGGCAGCTACATTATCGGCTGTAGCTTAATTGTCAATTCTAACATATAAACAGGGGGCGAGCGAAGGGCACAGATATCAAAAAAAAAAAGTGTCTTAGTTGAAACATTAGTTCTTTGTTTTATCTCCATCTCTCTTAACTCTTAAGAACTTTGTGAATCTCATCCAACCCATACTCGGGAGGGTTCGATTAGCCTCTCATCCAACTCAGTCTAATAACCATTCTCATCCCTAAATTTGGTTCATAGCCTTTATAATTCGTTCTGCTTCAAATGAAGTTATTAGATCCAGAAGGAGTAATAATATAGCTTAATCCTAAAAAGCAAGCACCAGAAAAGATGAGACATAAAGAAGCCAACTGGCTGTCTTAAAAAACATGGCAGTGCATAATGGATTCTAAAGAGCTTCAAATAATGCAAGCACTCAAACAAAGAGTAGAATTAGACATGACAATAGTTAGGATTAAAACGCCTAAAAGTTCTCACACAAAAAAAAAAACTAGGACGTCTGCTCTTTAGCTAGATTTTGCCTCCACAAGCTTTTCAATCAAATCAGCAGCATCCTGCACCGTGGTGATGCTCTGAGCATTTTCTTCCTCTACGTTGATGCCAAAGGCTTCTTCAAGGCCCATCACAATCTCAACCTGAAAATAAAGCTACAAGTTATTGAGTTTCAGGAGAAAAGCTCAATAGGCATGAATGGTTACAGTGAAAAAGCTTTTGCCGATTCATGGAGAAAAGCTCAATAGGCATCACAAAGTGGTTATGAAGCAGCAATTCAAAATCGTTTGCCGATTCATGGACTAATGAAACCACGATTAAATTATTCCAATTGGAGGTAAGCTCATTGACATCTGACAGTGCCAAATGCTTGAGGTTTCCGCCAATGCAGAAATTGAGAAAAGGCTCCTGTGCACGACCTTATGTATACATTGCAAATAGACTGTCACCAGGAATGACCTCGAGGTCACAGGGCAGGAAAACCCAATTATGTGATCCGCCCTCTAAATTCTGTAATCTCTGATAGAAAATAAAAAAGACGCAACATTGTTACCGTGTCAAGAGAATCAGCCCCGAGTGCAGAAAATGTTGATTCACCAGTAACAGAGGTACCCTTTGGGAGAGCCAGCTGCTCCTTCACTATCTTACAGACCTTCTCCAGCGTCTCTGTTTTGGCCTGCCCAAAGCAGCTTAAACTATGGATATGAAGTTCCAGAAAAGGAAGATTGCATCGGGAATATGGTCTAATGAAGTAGAAGGATAAAATAATGTCTGCGATGAATCTAACATAAGTATTAACTATTGAAATGCTTTGGTAAATCATATGATTATTTTTTATTTTCATCTAGCTGCACAAATGGAAGAGTAAAGTTGATATTAATCTATGATGTCATGGCATTTCCATAAACATTATTTCAATAAATTTTACCTAAATTTTCTTTTTTTTTTCACTACTAATCTTAATATTATTGGTCTTCTCAAACATTACTCTGCAAAATTCGTCTAAATTTATGGTCGTACAATGAAGGTAAACATTATTATCACTCCAAACGTAAATAGTACCACCTCAATATATGTGAACAGTCGGTGGTTGTTCAAATCATGCCTAACTTGTCATCAAAATAATTATAAAATAGCTACTTAAGTATTGGTTTGGCACAAACATTCACTAGAATTTATGCCATTTTTAGCAAATTCCCGCAATGCCTAACAATGCATTAAACTTCATGAAATGCTTCTTCCTTAAGAGGCATCCATAATCAAATCGGATGCAATAATATCTTGTGCTTGCAACGCTTTAAGTTAAATTGATAAATTTCATACAATTTATCAAGTGAATATGACTTTTGTTCTTGCTTCTACTACTCCAGGACAGTTGTTTTATGTGCTTTCATTTTAGTAGAGAGAGGATAGGGTAGAAACGTGAGATGAAGATTCCTTTCCTTCCAGCTGCCCCCTTCAAAACATATATGTAAACATACATAACATGAGATCAAGAATAGCTGTAATAAGTTATTATGTAATTCCAGTGCAAATCTTCAGTATTTTTTTTTTATCATATTTATTTAATCATATTATAAGAAATTAAGAACAAAGGGTTTAATAATTGATGCTAAGAAAAATTAACGGAGTTGCTAGTCATGGCAATAGAGAAAAAAATAATGGTTCTTGTATTATACAACAACAACATCAAGCCTTTATCCCACTACGTGGGGTCGGCTACATGAATCCTTTTTCTCCATTGTGTCCTATTAAAAGCCAAATTCTCGTTTAAATCTAATAAAGAAAGGTCATTCCTAATATTTTCTAACCAAGTCTTTTTAGGTCTACCCCTACCTTTCTTAACACAAGTCAAATCTAATACCTCTACTCTCCTAACTGGGTCGTCGGAAGGCCGCCTTTTTATGTGACCAAACCATCTAAGGCGACTCTCTCTAATCTTATCTTCTACTGGAGCTACTCCAACCTTTTCACGTATATGCTCATTTCGTATCCTATCTCTAAGGGTAAAGCCACTCATCCATCTAAGCATCCTCATCTCTGCCACACTTAACTTAGTATTATGTTTCCCTTTTAATGGCCAACATTCGGCACAATAAAGCATTGCAGGCCTCACTACCATCTTATAGAATTTTCCCTTAAGTTTGAGGGGTACATTTCTATCACATAACAAGCCCGATGCATTCCGCCACTTCAACCATCCAACTTGAATTCTGCTGATAATATCCCCATCTATTTCACCATCACTCTGAACAATAGATCCAAGATACCTAAAACGTGTACTCTTATTAATGACTTGATCGCCCAAAGTCACAATCCCCTCACTAGGACTATTACTGCTAAAATTACACTCCATATATTCCGTTTTAGATCTACTCAAGCGAAAACCTTTAGACTCTAAGGTTGACCTCCATAATTCAAGTTTACCTTCAACTCCCTCTCTAGTCTTATCAACAAGAAGAATATCATCAGCAAAAAGCATACACCAAGGTACATCATCTTGCAAATGTCTAGTGAGAACATCCATGACTAAAGCAAATAGATATGGGCTTAAGGCTGATCCTTGATGTAACCCAATCGAAATAGGGAAATACTTGGTCAAACCACCTTGTGTTTGAACACAAGTAATAGCTCCTGCATACATATCTTTAATGATTTGAATATAAGCATTATTGACTCCTTTCTTATCAAGAACTCTCCATAGCACTTCTCTTGGAACTTTATCATATGCTTTTTCTAAATCAATAAATATCATATGTAGATCCTCCTTATTTCCTCTATATTTTTCCATCAAACCTCTGAATAAATGTATGGCTTCCATAGTCGACCTACCCGGCATAAATCCAAATTGATTTTGAGAAACATTAGTATCACGTCGCAACCTATGCTCTATAACTCGCTCCCATAATTTTAAAGTATGACACATTAACTTAATACCTCTATAATTCGTGCAATCCTGTGCATCGCCTTTATTCTTAAAAACAGGAATTAATACACTCATTCTCCACTCATCTGGCATCTTTTTAGTCTTGTATTATCAATTGAAAAAAAAAATATTAAGCATAAGATTCATCTTTGGCAGCAATTCAGAACAATAATCATGTATGCTACTGCTAGGTACATAATAGAGGCCTGATTTTAAGACATACCGCACATGAAATACGAAACTGAGGAGTTGACTGTGACCGCAGTGATGGAAAATTTTTGCTTTGTCCGAAGAATGAAACTGACTTCAAGCCTGAAATTCCATTAACTACCTGTAGATCAGAAAGTCATTAGAATATAGCTTAGCCGATCTGATATTGTGTGACATGTTCAGGCATAAGGTTTTCTGACATTAAGAAAGTAACAAGATGAAGGATAAATACTCCTAAAATCAAAATCAGTGGAGCTTCAGAACTCCTTCCAATTCTTCACCTCATTGGTAGAATGTGGCCTACCAAAAGTTAGAAAGCAGTCTTTGTATTTTATCAAACCACTTCATTCAGTTCATGAAAAATGTGCGTTGCTATTACACAGAAACAAGAAGAATGAATACTCCAGAAATTCAAAATCTTTGAACATAGGAACCCCTTCCCGTCCTTCCACTTCTTTTGCAAGAATGTCGCTTACAAATAATTAAATTAGAAAGTTTTCATAATTTTTTTCAAACCTTTCAGTCCATGAAACTTGTGCATTGATACAGCAAAAATCTAAAGGTATAGATTTATAGGAGCATCCAAGCTAATTTTACAATCATGAAACGAAACAGGAACTCTTAAAAGTTCAACAAGCAAAAAAGAAGTTTCAAACAGATACTTACCAGTTTTTTTTTTTTTTTCCACCAACCAAATCTATAGACCATCTTTTTAGGTGTTGTTTTCCCAAGGCGTTGACATCACAAAGAATAACCTTCTGCAAGGTCCTCCAATAATATCTAAGCCGTCTTATTAACTGTTTTTTATGTTAATTGAATAAAAACAAGGCATCGAAAGCCATAACACAATCATCCACCATCAAAATAGCTGTATATACAGTCACTAGATAAATGTGATAGTTACTATGCTCCAATGTTACCTAGAGGTTACAATTTGAATGGGGGAAGCAACCTCTTCACAGAAACCTATTTTACACAACGATAGCCTCCTCATGTGACAAGACACTTTTTTTAGTCCGTAACCCAACTTAATAGAAACATAGAAAATAAAGGTGCATCCCCACCGCATGACATTGGCCAAGAGAAATACTTCTTTCAAAAATTGGAAAAGAATGTTTGCTCAAATCCTAATTTCTAATGTTTTTTTTTTTTCTTGAATAAACAGAAGTCAACTATAACACATAAGTTTAAATCAAATGTTCGCTTAACATAGAGTGGTATGTTTCAAAGCTGACAAAGATTCATGCATTTATTTGAAAGAAACTATAAAGCAGACAGGTATAACTACTATTGAAGTCCTAAAATAAAAGTCAAATCTTTAATTTGTGATGTGCTAGACTTTAAGAGTCAAGACTTAAAACAATATGATGAGCATATTATAGATTAGAAAAGCAAAATGAAGTTAGATATGAAAAAAAAAAAAAAAACATAAAGGTAAGGCTAAGGTTCTACATGAGATATATATTACAATTTAGAGAGTTATTGGGATAATATAGTAATTTGATAAATAAATTTTTTCAATGAAATATTGAATATGAAGACGATATCAAATGATAAAAAAATAGATCTAGCATAAATATATCTAATGACTTGAATATAAGCATTATTAATCTCTTTCTTTTTTAGAACTCTCCATAGCACTTCTCTTGAAACTTTATTATATGCTTTCTCTAAATAAATAAATATCATATGAAGATCTTCCTCTTTCTCTCTATACTTCTCCATCAAACCTCTCAATAAATGTATGGCATCCATAGTAGACCTACCCAGCATGAATCCAAATTGATTTTGAGAAACATTAGTATCACGTTGTAACATTTGCTCCATAACTCTCTCCCATAGTTTTAAAATATGAAACATTAACTTAATTCCTCTATAATTTGCACACTCTTATGCATCACATTTATTCTTAAAGATAGGAATCAACACACTCATTCTCCACACATCTGGCATCTTTTTAGTCTTCAAAATAATATTAAAAAGTTTAGTAAACTAAAAAATTCCTTCATCTACTAAGCATTTCCACACCTCTATTGGAATATCATCATGTCTAATAGTTTTTCTACACTTCATTTTCTTTAAAACTCTCTAACTTCAATTTTAGTAATACGACAATAAAAATAAAAATATTTATTTTCATTTAGAGTGTTAAAATCACTAAAGTCAATCGTATTTTCACAATCTTTATTGAAAAGCTTAGCAAAATATCTCATTCACCTTTATTGAACATCCTCTTCTAAAAAAAGTACTTTTTGATTTTCATCCTTAATGCACTTCACTTGAACTAAATCATTCCTATCTCATTATTTGGTTAGCTCATACATAGATCTTTCTGTTATATAAATCATTAAATCTAAAGTTATTGCATCGCAAAATACTTTCTTAGACTCCTTACGGACAACTTTATATATTTGTCAATTTTTTAGATTTTTACATCTAAACCAATTTTTATAATAAAGCTTCTTATTTTTTATCTTTTGTTACACATTTTGATTCCACCACCAACTATTTTTACTATTATAAGATTTTCTTTTTGATACTCCAAGCACATCCTTTGCAACATTCTTAATATTAAAAGCTATTAATTCCTACATAACAGTAGCTTCCTCATGCACCAACAAAATCTTAAGATCGTGAATCTTACTTTCAAATATATTTTTGTTATAGTTTTTTAAATGCCACCATCTAATCATAAAACAATGATATACTATATTTTTCATACTCTGCCCCTTCATTTTAAAGTCCAAAACTAATAAGCAGTGTTGAGTACATAGACTTTCACTAAGAATAATTTTATAATCTCTATAATCTAAACAATATATTTTTCTTACAACAAAATAATCAATCTGAGTTTTACTAAATCCATTCTTATAAGTGATGAGATGCTCATCTCCTTTCTTAAATAAGATATTAGCCATAGCAAAATCATAAGCTAAAGCAAAATGTAATATAGTCTTACCACCTTCATTAGTCGTTCCAAACTAATAGCAACCATGAATGTTTTTAAAATCTTTTACCTCTCTACCAACATGTCTATTTAAATCTCCTCCTATAAAAATTATTTCTTCAAGAGGTTTCTTTTATATTAATTCTTCTAAGTCATATCAAAATTTTAATTTTGAGCACATATCCAAACCTACTTGAGGAGCATAAACACTTATAATATTAATAATCTTATCATCAATAATAATCTTCAAAGCTATAATTTATCTCGAATTTGATCTATTTTAACAACATTATCTTTAAAATTCTTATATATAATCATACATACATCATTTCTAATATAACTCTTACCAGAATACCAAAGTTTAAACCCTAAACTATCATTATCCTTAGCCTTTTCTCCCACCCATTTAGTTTTTTGAATGCATAGAATATTTATCTTCATATGAATCATAATATCAATTAATTCCATTAATTTTTCTGTAAAGAAACTTATATTCTATGATCCTAACCTAATTTTAGTTTCATTGACTAGCTTCTTTGCCCACATTCGTCCATGATGTGAAAACCCTTGTTTATTTAATACTGCATCCGGGCGCCAATGCAACAACCTTGCACACTTTCACTATATTCTAGTCATACAACGCGTCGCTTCCAGGAAACGCACTATCATTAACACAATGTATTAAATGATTCATGTCATGATTATTCGAAAAATTTTATGTTGGTTGTCGACTACCTAACACAACCCTCCATTTTCTCATCAGGGACTTGGGACCTGGCAATGACAGTATTTAATGAAATATTGCCTCAAAAAAAATTAAATAAATTTTAAAGAATCAATTTGGTTTTATGATAAGATGATATCCTATGGAAGTAATTGAGTTAAGATAATTAATGGCGAAGCATTATATAAATTTTTTTATAATTATTTATCTTGAGAAAATTTATGAATTAATATCATTAGTGTTAATTTAATATTTTAGACAACATATCAAACATATGTTCATGTTATCAAAGAAATATATGAATGAGCGTTGACTAGTATTAAAAGCAATTGTGGAGTTACACGAGTTTCTAATTATAGTAAGTCTGCAAGTTTACATCAATACAATTCAAAGTGAGATGCTTAATGTATGCTTTTATTTATGATATAAATTCTAATTAGTTGGGCATCCAATGAAAAAAGTGAAAAATTAAAAATATATAAAAAAACTATGTATAAGTTAAAGACTTTAAAATTAGCATTATAAAGATTGAGTATATGATAGATAATTTTAGTGGTATGTTATTTAATAATTACTATTCAATATTACTAGAACATAAAGTAATACCACGTGTGGTAAATTAAGAATTTTGACTTTATTATACAAAAGAAAAGAAATATAGATGATGATGTAAATTCGAAAGTTCGGATGAATGGTTAAAATCAGAAAGTTTCTTGGGATTTTTGTATGACAAGAGGACAAGACTAATAATATGTATAGTAAATGCAAGATAATGATCATAAACGCTACAAAAATATTAACTAGATAATATAATGTGATCACTATTTAACAATATTTGATAGTTAATTAAATTTGAGTAAGAAAATGGATTAGTTGTAATGCCCCACACCAAAATAAAAAACCTTCTGTGCAGTGTTTTCGAATTGGAGCTATTGAAATTATTCTTAATGTTGTATTATAAATGCTAGAATAAATTTACTTATTTTAAATACTTCTGCATAAAATTGTTGAATCATTTATTTTTGCTTTATCGCGCCTCCATTAGGGTGTTGCATTCACAAGCATGACGCATGACCGACTCATCTTAAAATCACAAGAAATTTGACGCCCTAATGTTCTCCATGGTGTGGATTAAGATCAGTGATCATGAATTTAAAAAAAAAAAACTATCAGTGATCATGATTTGCCACTTGAATATGATTAAAAACAATTTATTTAATGAAATTTAATGTCTTGTTACTGTTTTATAGTGTAGATTAAGATCAACATCCATGAATTGCAAATTGAATGTTGTTTGATTAAAAAAGCAAGCTAAACTAAAATAACATTAAAATTTGTTAACAATTGCTTGTTGGAGATGTCAGTTTAAGAACAAAAAATAAACGAAAAATAGAATTTTATTTATTTATTTTTATTACTCAAGTAGCATCTACCAAAGCCAAAAAAAATCAGATAAAAATTTTTTTAGATGGATTATACTCACTATTTATGTTCAACAAGTTTATAGACTCTTACTTATTTTGTTTCCTCTGATTCCTCTGAATAAAGATCATTATGAAGAAAATATAAAATTATCTGCTAAACATTGGGAACCCACTCAACCCAAAGCACAATAGAATAAAGTATAGTCATGGTTAACTTTTATATTCTAAACAGCAGAGTTTCAAGTTTAGGCGCAGTATAATAAATAAAATCTTGCAATTTTTTTTTTTTTTTTAAATCAAATCTTGCAATGTTGCCACTCAATCAAAGGGTAGGTGGTATTGCGATGAAAATTAAAGTTTTGTATATTACGAGGTTTATCAAGAGTTGAGCTTGAGACTTTTGATTTGAATTCCAAGTTAAACACTACTAACCAATTAATATACAAACTTAAGCATGTATTCAACCTACGGCCTATAAGTAGCTTTAAATTATTAACATATCATTTCTTTTGGGAAAAACAAATAAGATAATCTAGTATTGCATCAGGGGGTATTCTAACAATTATATCTCGAGAAAAACACCTTTATTAAAGAAAAAATGATCTCCACAAAGGATTTTTATTTTAATCCCTTTGACAATAACATAAAATGTTTGGTACAAACAATAACTTTAGTATATATATATATATATATACACCCAAGTTTGAATCATTAATCATAAGCTCATCAGATCATCAAAATGGCCATGATACTGAAACATATCAAATCAAATGCATTTATTGTTGCTAAATACAGATTTCAAATTAATGACAATGCTCTTAGATTCAAACAAACTAAAACAATCATTAGTAGTCCACATTGAATTTAAGAGAAAACATTAAAGTAAAACTACTATGAGACTCAGAATAAAAAGGGTTATCTTTCTAACACGCTGTAGGTAAAATCTCATTGGCGATACAAATAAAGTACCTCTTCTAATTATGTGAATTTGATCATCAGTTTCTTTGGGGTGTATTGGTTTTCACGTTCACTTTTACCTATCTTCCCAATAACTTAATATTATTTTATGAGTAAAATTAAGGTTACAATCCATCGTTCATTTGGGTATTTGAGAAATTTTTGTTATTACAAAAAAAGGTATTGGAATGCGACTTTCAAAACCTCATTGTTTTTCATTTCTTCTTTACAAATTACTTTGAATTACATCTGACCTTAAGATTATAATTTTCCTTCATAATCTCCTAACTGAACAATAGATGCATTTCACAATCCTCCAACATTTTATAATTCTACACAAATGAGAGGTTGAACACCTCAAACAATACTCAACAAGAAGAAATGAAAAATGAAAATTCATAAACCAAACCCCAAATAATTCAGATGAATAGAAATTCAGATGCTCCCAAACATTTTTTATAAAAATAAATTAGACAATAGTGCACTAAGATCAATTTAAACCATTAAGCATTCTAATTGTTAAAATTTGTTATGAATCCTTTTACCTTTCTTAGTTACTCCTTCAAATATATCAAATAGAATCACTTTGGTATGTTAGATCCAATTTGATGCCCCATCAAGTTCAACAACACAATATTTGTGCAAAATATGCTAGGAAGCCAAATAATAATAGATATGATATATCCAGTAAGGGGCAAAATATGGTATGTATCTTTAATAATGAATATTACATAATTATAAGAACATAGATTTAAAAACTTTGATGGATTTATTCCTAACAATAACCTAAATTATGAGGCTAATAGAAAGAAGCTATAAATATAAAAGTAATAGCTAGGTTCCACATTAATGAACCCAGGTGCGCGCACATGACCAAATATCGAGAAAGAAGTATAATTTTTCACTTATACATATAAATAAGGTGGAGATTCATGTAGTCAACCATAGAACCTTTATCTAAGAATACATGAGTACTTCTCTTCTACCAACGAATTGCTAAAGTGAGAAAACATTAAGTGCACCAAGAGGACTACTCATGCCTTCTACTAGTATGAATTTTATGATCTCACCCAATGGAGTTAGAGCAATTTAAGGTTTGATTTTTTCATTTCTTTTCAAATTGTTTTCGTATGCATGCATGATTCAAGTAAAATATGGGTTCCAACTGAAATTCATGATTAAGAAAATGTGGGTGATAGCCAATGCCTACCTGTTTGTTTGACAAAGAGCAAGAGGACACGGTCAATATGTTGTGCCTTAATCTTTGAGTTGAACAAAAGCCTATCACCCATTAAAGGAGGCATCAAGTTGAACGGATAGAATTGTAAGGCTAGTAGCGTTGCTTTAAAATATTTTGTTCATACAAAATATATAGACAATAGATGGCCATGATCAAAGAATCAGCATGTCCTTCATCAAAGGATGACCAAGCCTACTGGGAGGTTGAGAATGTGTAGCTAAATTGACCTTCCAAGGTAAGAAGCTCAACAAACAATTATAAAATAAAGGTGCAAACCATAGTAAACCTTATAATGTGCCAGGTTGACGGAAGATAGCTTTTAATGGCGCCACATCCAAATACCACCTCCAAAAAGTTTGGGGAGGTGCAATCTCTTTAATTATAGGATTCTACTAGCTTGATTGAGAGATACTCCATTAGTGACTGATTAAAAAGTACCACTTATCCATTAATAGGTGATATGACCACAACCAATTTAAACCAGTGACGGATAACCAAAGAAGATGTCGAACATGTGTTACTTGATTGGAATCGTAAAGGCGAGAAGCTCTACAAGTATTCATAGGTGTTTACTTGCCAAAGAGGATTAATCCGTCAAGGACTTGAACTGCTCTAAATGATCAAGGTTGATTATGCGATGCAAGTCGAGGTTCCGGGTCAATTTCAATAGATGCAATAAATATGTCGAGTCCCGCTAAAATTAACAAAACCATAGCCTGGAGTTTCTATCTATAAGACTAAGAAAACATATCTAGCTTTTCAAGATATAATATTAAGAATGATCAACAATAAATCAGCTTCATTCCTAAATGAACACAACATCAAGCAAGATAGCTCTAACTCTAATAACAAACACAATTATTTCAAAGCATTTACCAATATCATTAATGCTCCCAACTCTAAAAGAAAACATACTCAAGATCTCCTTACCATGTTGATGCATTTAATCATTTCAAAATCAGAACTAAAGGGATTAGCATCCTCAAAAGATGTAGAGATACCCATTCAAGTTAAATTAAGATTACTCTAAAGATTCTTTTCCGAATGAAAAGCAAGATTACAACAAGTTATAACCAAAACGATTAACAATATTAATAAAGCTCCCAACATCAAAGAAAATGTGATCTAGAGATTTTCACCTTGATGATCAATTTGATAAGTGTGAAATCATAATTTGTAGGGGTAACCATCAGCGAAAGAAATACAACCCCCATTCAAAGAAAAGTTAAGTCTACACTAAAGACTCTGAGCCCAATGACTAGCATGATTATTCAAAGATCATAAATGGAGGGCAGATCATAAATGGAGGGCTCATCAACCATATATATCTTAAGTAATCAAAATGCAAAGCCATCTAGGTTTAATCCCTCCAACTGGTCAAACTCTTTAATAAACAAATAAAGAAAACTTCAAGCCTCACAAAACATCAACACACCAGTTGAATGCCAAGCAAAGAAAATATTGGAATGAACAAGGCCAAATATGATTGAGTTGCTCACCAACTAGCATGGAAAAGGATGCTTGTGTAGGGCAAGCTCCCATTCAACAAGCCTAACAACTGAATTGATGTTTCGTATTCTATCCCTAGTGTTCTGGCACCCTAAAAATGGCTCAATTATCAGAACATCATAGCTGAAATGATACGCGGAGGAATCCACTAAAAGAAAAATATTATTATTTCAATATATTATGTATTGTTGAACTTTGATCATCAATGGTTGGTGGAGTCACAATAGATCATCACTAGAGGGGTCTATCTATAGCCAGAATGCCTAATCAAATAGCAAATGCTTGAAAACAATCTTAACCATAATAAAGAGCACGGCTATCAAAATAAAATAATAATTTGACGGTGCATTGGCACCATCTTCACTGCTTTATGCATTCCCCTCAAATGATGGGCTATGAAAATGGCTCAAGATGTAAAACCTGGCCTAATGAAAACTCCGCATTATGAAGATGTCTCAAGATGCGAAGCTATGCTTTATGCATCTATCAAGAATTCCCTTCAGTTTCCACAAAACTGCTAAATATAACCGACAAAAAAAATCCAATATTTTCTCTTATCTAAATACGGCGAGCAAATCAAGCTCTCTCTAGCTAATGCAACTGCATTCCCTGAAAGAATGAGAGCATTTTACGTACGCATTATCCAGATCAGCACAGATTTGTTTGGTACTTAAAATATGTGCATAACACCACTACAAACTATAAGATTTTTGCAAATATACCGTCTCTTCAGTTCTGTGGTATCAGGTTAATGCAAAAGAAAAAAAAAATCAGAAGATAAAATATGCAATTCTAATCCAGGCATCAGGAATATGGAAAAAAATGAAAAGAACGGAAGTAAATAACAGTTGCAGAGTCGCATCACCTTCCGATTGGTACAGATTATTCAATATCAAACAAAATAAAAGCGGAAAATATATACGAGCTGCAGATCAAAGACGAGGAAAGAAGCGAAATACACTGATCTCCAACGACATGTTACCTTGCTATGCCTGCAGCTCAGCGGCCGCGCGGAAATAAAGACCCCCGCCCTTGCGATCGAAGCCATCGGTTGAGTAAGAGCGAGAGGGGGGAGGCGCGTGAGGAGAAAGACGATAAGAATAACTCGACAAGAACAGCAAGAAGATCGAGAAAACATTGCTTATGCCCATCGTCTATCGGGATTATCGGACGGTCGTGGAAAGAGCAATAGACGCGTTAGATCTCGCTTGGGCCTACAGAGAGCTTTCTTTGTAGGGCGACCGGGGGATAGGCTAGCAATTCGCCACATTGTAGGGCGTCCGTAATAATTGTTCCATAACTAGACCACATTTATCACTCACTGAGTAGTCATGGACAATCGTTCTTTCCTATGCAGACCAACTTCTCCAGATAGTTTTTGAAAGGCGTCTATCCAATGTCCCAACAAAAAAAAGCGTCTATCCATAGGACCCTCAACTTACCCCATCATGACTATCAAACTTAGTTCTCCACTTGACATATCACTTGCCCCTTCTCCTCAGGCGGCCTGAGATCCTTACACAAGTCACTGATAAAGTCAACAAACACGCCAGCTACTAGGCTCCTTTCATGAGTACTCTCCCACAGAGCTCTCTCTATACACTCTCGCCACTACTGAACTCGTCAATACATAGTTAGCACTCCTAAACTTGTCCAAAGACTAATCATTATAGCTCTACAGGCCTTGCTATCCCCCAACCAATCATATGGAGATGTGTTTAGGGTAACGTGTATATGAGCATTCAGTGTAGCATTATTTTTTTTATTTTTCTCTCTATATTGCCTTTCATGTAGCCCTCATAATCCTCTAAATAAGTGGTTATGAAAAATAGTTTATGGATCTTTTTTTTTTTACTCATAGTGGATCTTTGTCAGTTTGAGACCTACAGTGTTATGAGGATTCTGTAGCATTCTATTCTCATTGGTCCTAGCTCACTAGGTTAGCTTACTAGTAAAGTTGGGTGTCATCCACAAATAAATTTGGATCCAAATTTCTCTCATGTCTTTTGAGTGTGGATTGATGCAATTAACAAGAATACAAACCCAAACCAATAAGCAAGTTCAACATGAGCCTTTCGTGAACATGGAGAATGTCAACTACATCACTTCTTGAGACCTACAGGAAATTGATATAAAGATTATAAAGATGATCCAAGATGCCCTGATCGGTATCCAAGGGCAAGTGTTAGGTGACAATGACCTTGAAGGTTCTTTTCACTCAGTAGATTGCAACAAGTGGCCATAAGATAGAGCGTTGACCTCAACACCATTACCCATCTACACTCACGTGTTAAGAAGTTGAGAATTGTAAAACACGATGACTTAGCAAGTCATAAGGGAAGAACCTGAACTTACCAATTCCTTCTCTAAGGCAATCATCCAGACCAAACCACCTTCAAAGTTCAAAGTTCCATAGTTGGAACCCTATTGAGGGAAGACTAATCTAAGGGAAGAAAACACCCTTAAGTGCACTACAGGAAAATTGCTTATTACCAATGGATTTTCCGACGGCTTTCCGGCGGAATATTTTCTTGTGGATTTCCGACGGATTATGATAAAATATTTTCGACTAATTTACAAGTAGATTTTTCGACATTTTTTATTTGAAAGATTTCCGACGGATTTTTTTTTTCCGGGGCATTTTCTAGCGACTTTTCCGGTGGACTTAAAAATTCCAGGAAAACAAATTCATATTTAGTAATTTTATAGCTTATTTTAAATAATTATAAATTTGATAAAATATTATAATTAAATGTTAATGTAATAACTTATTTTAATTATTTATTAAAATAGTAATTTTAATTAATTACTAAATTTAATATTTTTAAATGTATTTTTAAAAAAATATAAAAAGTTATTAAATTAATGATTTATTTATTAAAAAATTAAAAACTTGTTTTAACTAATTATTATTGTAATAACTTATTTTAATTATTTCATCAACAGCAAAGTGGTGGAGTGCTTGCCAAGTCTCCACTTCGAGTCCCACGGCCATGACGAGCCGTGCGTGCGGTTTAGCGAGTGTGTCGTCGCGCAGCCGCCGTAAAATATTTATGGGGACCAACTTTCGTCGAAAATTTTTTCCGGCGAATTTTTTTCGACGCTCGATTTACCGTCAAAAATATTTTCACCAAAAATGTACAGAAAATGTAGAAATCTGCTGAAAAATTCGTCGATAATATGCTACTTTCTTGTAGTAGTGTTACATCTTCTTTACAACACTTAAGTAGTTGATGCTTAAGTCGTTCTCTTACTTAGCATTGAGAGTGACCATTTTTATTTTTTTCTTTTAATTCAAAAGGATATTTATCACTATGTTTGTTAGTGCTTAGATGCCTTATAAGTCTCCACAATCTTTGTTGAAGATGAGGTAGAAGTCGAGAGAGTCACTAAATCACTAAGGAGTTTCATTGTGAGGTTTCATAAGGAAATGGTATATTTGAATAACCATTAACTAGTAATTATTCACATAAGGATTGAGAGAGGATTCTTTTAAATATGCACTTTACTTGTTGTAGCCGAGGATGCAAGCAAAATTGTTAGAACTGGCCAATAGCCATGTAAATGTTGAATAATACAATTTAGTGGCTATGTCCTCATCAGCCACTCTTCCTTATGAATTTGTTACAAGAAGTGTGTGTCGGTGAGGAATGCGCAATAACTTGAGGAATCCTTAACATGTTTGGTCACCTTCATAAGCATTGGGCGCCGAAAGAATTATTTGTTTTGGATGACCTCAATGAGCCATGGACACTCTCAACAAAGTGTAAGTAGGGTAAGTAGACAAATGATGGGTGACTTAATTGTTGAAGGGGCAATTTGCATGAGGAATCTCTTCCATCATTAGCATCAGTGGCTCAATAAGTCTTCATGCTTTTGGTTGAAGGGACACTACAACTTAAAATAATGGCTGACTTCATTATAGTCATTATTCCATCAACTTAAAATATCATCTTCAGCAAGCCTCTAATGAACACCTTTAGAGTCATGGCATCCACTTATCACGTCAATGTGAAATTCCCACCTGAAGCGAGAGAGATAATGGTGAGAGGTGACCACCCTCAATTATATATGTGCTACCTACGAGTACTGGAAAAGGTGGTGACTTCCTTAGAGGAAGTTTTGTAGCAAGATTTAGAGCAAGGTCTAGGCTGATGGTTATAAAGGTTGTTAAGGAAGTGTCAGTAGTTGAAGTTAAGTCCAATTGATCCCTATGAATGAGTGTGTCCTTCCACAAGGAGCATCAAGGAAATTTGATCAAGGCTCTCGGAGGTAACCTTGATGCCTTTTTTAGGACAACAACAAAGGTGCCATAAATTGATAAATAAGTTGCCTATCATAAGCTCAATGTGAGAAAGGATGCTAATCCCTTTAATTAGAAACATTAAGAAGATGATTGTTATACTGAAAAAGACCATAAGGGAGGAAGTGTAGAAGCTAATAGAAGCCAGGTTTGTTAGAGAGGTATAATACCTAGACTTAATCTCCAATGTAGTTCTGGTACAAAAGGGGACTAAAAAGTGGAGGATATATGTATACTTTATTAAAATGACTTGACAAGCCCAAAGGACAAATACCCACTAAAAGAATAGATGCTCTAGTCAATTTGGTAATGGGCTTCATTATGAGCTTCTTCAATGTATTCTTAGGTTATCATCTGATTAAGATGCACCCAAGTGAAAATGAGAAGACAACCTTCATCACCATAGAAGGCTTATACTGCTAGAAGGTGATGATCTTTTGCTTAAATAATGTAGGGGAAACTTACTAGAGATTTATGGATATGGTCTTTAAGAACTAGAGAAAAGATTATGGAAGTGTACATTAGCCACCTCTTACTAAAGATCAAGCTACACATCCAACACATTGAGGATTTGAATGAGACATTCACTAACCTCAAAATTTATAATTTAAGATTGAACGCATTGAAATGTACCTTTTGTGCTATTTTTGAGATGCTCTAAAGGTTCCTGCTCATACTTGATGGCATTAAAGTAAATCCAACCAAGACGATTTTGGAGATTTTTTTTTTAAGATGCAAACCATTTGTATTAAAGGAAAAAAAACTATTACAACCTACATAGCATTATTATCATATTCCTCTTTTAAAAAACTAATAAACGAAGGAGGAATCTTATTCATAATCATCACAAAGAAAAAAAAAAAGAGAACATAGTTAGCACACAAATCTGCTAACTTATTACAATCCCTATTTATACAATTAAAAATAACATGGTTGAAATCCTTGAGAAAAGAAAGATCCTAAATCAACTGATTGCCCTTTCTCACTGATTTATGAAGAAAATTGATAATGTTAGAGTTATCACCTTCGATGATAATCCCCTTATAATTCAACATCCAATCTTTAATAACATCCCTGAGAGATTGAATAGCTAAAAGCTGCCAATGAATACAAGTATATCCAAAAGCCATAAGAAATCTTACTTTATTATCATGGAATACACCACCAATACCAGCTTTATAAGAAGGTAATAAAGAAACATAACCGTTAACTTTGATCCAATCCGGAGGAGGAGGATTCCAATGATTCATTGACACTCTGATTGACTGATTAGTACCGCAGTAACCTGAACTAAATTTACCAAAATATGCAGAAATCAAAGAATAACTTACTTATTGAGTAGCAATGACCATTGATTTTTCTTTAATACCTTCATGAATAAACTTATTCCTAGATTTCCATGACAGGTAAACTGAATTGCAATAAATATTAACTAACAACACATTCTGTGTACTAAGGAGCAACCACTTACAACATTCTTCAAATGTGTCAAAAGAAGGGACCCTATATCTCCATCTATTTAAGTAATTAAAAACTTTTATCAGGGTCACACACTTGGTTGTTACGTGATCAATATCTTTGATTGCATTGCAACCTCTACGACAATGATTACCATCTTGCAATCTCCTATATGATAGAAATAAAAATGTTGGAATACCATTGTTAAATAAATGCCACAAAAAAACCTCAATCTCAGTTATGAGCTTAGCATTTTTGATCCATTTCCAGTAAAGAGAATCAGACTAAACTTGCATCGAAGTTTCAAAAGCCCAAGCTGAAATAGATTTATTAGAATTTTGATAAATAAGTTCCAAATGATCATCAAACAACTCTGATT